GCTTCAGATTCTGTGTCTCCCTTGCTCTGCCCCTCCCCCACTCACGCTCTTTCTCAAAAATAAACATAAAAAAAAAAGAAAGACAATAATTAGTCCTTCATTCAAAAAGATTTAACAAATACCTATTAAGCGCTTACTCTGTGGAAAGCACTGTGGGAAATGCAAAGCTCTATAAGGCTGCAACTGCCCCTTCCAGGAACCAACAGTATAGTATGGAAGGTGAGTGGTGAACACAAAGTCTATAAGGTAAGACATATTTGGCAGATGTCATAAGAAGGATACAAAGAACGTGAGAGGCAGGGTTTCTAAAGAAACCAGAGGCACTGGAGATTCCTACATAATTTAGACGTGGGAATTCTAACATAAATAAACTGGATTGTGGGAAAAGCTGTATGAATAAAAGCTATTTGGTAGAAAGCACTAACTTATATGTTTTCCATTAACTTTAATCCAAAAACCTAGTTTTAAGATTTGTGATATGTCTTGGGTTGTAAGTAAAGCCTGCTTTAGAATTTTCCTTTTTTTTTTTTTTTTCTGGAAAATAATTCTCCTATTTTTAACACAGAAAATCTTACTTCAGTTATTGTCTACAAATTTTATTTTGAGATGCCAGTTTGGTATTTATAGTCTCTCTGGTACAGCATGGAATCTTTAATCTTTGCTATTTTTGAAATGCTTATTCTATGAATGCAAAGGATCACACAACTCATCAAAACTGACTCTGTAGTTCAATCAAATCACAGCTTGTTCAGCTAGATTCCTGTAGTGGCCTCCAAACAAATGGCCCTTCGACCTGACTTTGAAGAAACAGAAATATGGTAGTATTCCAAAGAGAGCATGGGAACCCTGATGGTTTGTTCAGGAACAAGGGAGCAAGAGCTCCTTTAATTATCTGAATGGCTCACTTAAGTAGATCAGTTGGGCAGGGGGAAAAATATTTTCTGAAAGCGTTCATAGACCCAAAACGATTCACCAAGTAATCCTCAAATCAACTTTCAGAAAATTGAAACCAAATGCTTAGTTTAATTAATATAAGGATGTATTGGCAGGGGCTGGAAAAACAAATCTAACATAAACAAGTTAAAAAAAAAAAAAAGAAAGAAAAACCTTACTTACTTTGACTTGCTCTTGGCAACTTTTTCGCAGAGAGGAAAGGTTGAAAGAGAAAAGAAAATATCAATTTATTATCTTTCTTATGCAAAGTTCATATGTCTGTAATAAATAATGTAAGTTATAGAAGTATGCCATGGGTTGTCACTCAAGTAACTACTCCCTAGCTTGTAGGGATCTCGCTAAGATTCTGGAAAGAAGACAAAGATCCAATGAAACCAACACAATTCTGGATGTAATGCTTTGCACAATCCCTTTTCAGTGGGGCTGGTTACTTTTCAAATCGCTCTAAGATCTGCTCCACATGTTCCTCTTCTAGGTGCAAATATTTGCACTGGAACAAGCCTCTGGTTTGACAAGTTAACCCATGCAAATTTCAGCAACCACATGAGGTGGAGGAGGGAAACTAAATCTCATCGAACAGTTGGCCTGGTGCAGAATTGGGAAGCCAGAACACTTCTTTCCCAGCCCAGCTGTATTGACCTAGTCACTGCCTCTCTCAAGCCATTTCCTCGTCTTCAGAGTTTGAAACGAGTGGAATAAAAATTCTGAGGGTTTTTTTCCCCCCCAGTTCGGACGTGCAGAGATTCTGCTGACACGTCCCTACGAAGGACAGGGAAAGCACCCCACTCCTGCTGACCAGACACGACCGTCCCTGCGACCGCAAAGGGATGAAGAACTAGCACTAGAGACCTCCAAGCCCCACGGAGGAGTGCCGCGGAGCATGCCGGACGCTGTAGTCCTGAAGGCCTGGCAAGTCGCAGCGGCAGGTTCCCGACCGGCGCGCGCCCTCAAACCCGCACCGTCCCGAAGCCTGCCTGTCACGGCCTCCCGCCCTTGCCGCAGTCCCTGCCGCCTCCTCCATTCCCACTTACAGGTGACCGCGGACAGGAACATGGCGACAACTCCCCCAACAGTCTCCGAAATCGGCCCAAAAGCACTCAACAAGCAACTTCTTCCGGGGCACAGGCCTGTTCCGGAAGAGAACGTGATGATTTGCTCCAGGCCACGCCCCACGCCGCCCCCTACCCCTCCCAAATAAACCTCC